GGTTTCCCTTGGGCACACCCACCTGCCCTGGGGTTGGTTTCTAGCTCCTCCCTTCGCTCTGATCTTTGGGCCACTTCTTTCCAAATTCAAATCCCTCCTTCCCCAGTTCCAGCAGAACTCCCTGGGCCTCTTAGACCTCCCTACCCAGCTGGGTCGCATTCACACCTGGCTCTGCCTCTCACCTAGTCACCTCCTTGGGGATTTGTGGGGATTTGCATACCTGGCCTGGGGAATCCCCAGGGAGCCACACTCTTCATTTGAACCCACTCCCTCAGGCCCTGTCCTTTAGGGGAATAGCTGTGGAGTTCACTGCCCTTATTTCCACTCACGATAGGGCCTTGGTCCCTCAGGAGCTGGAGAAGATGTCCCAAAGGATGTGGCAGAGGGAACCTTGGCCGGTAGGTGGGCTGAGGCTCCTGAGCTGTCAGGTTCTTGGTGTTCAGCTCCAGGGTGACTGTGAGGTGGGAGACAAGGCTCAGAGCACAAAGTAGCTTGAAGTACTTGCTAAGCACAGACATGTTTGAGGCAGGAGGGCATTAGAATCTCAGTGGGTCTGACTCAGTGTCTATTCTGTTTGTTTGCTTGTTTGTTTGAGCCTTGAACTCACTGTGTAGCCCAAGCTGGCCTCAAACTTGCGGCAGATAATCCTGTTGCCTCAGCCTTCTGAGTGCTGGGACTGCAGACATGTGCCACAATGCCCAGCCCAGTTCCTGTTCTGAACCCTATCAATCAGGAAAGTGGGGATGGGAAAGAAGGGTGGCCATGGTGTCCCCAAGACCTTGAAGGAAATGGAGAAGAGTATAGGTGATTGAAGGATGGGCCCAGCTTCTTTGTCTTCTGACTTAAAGAAGCTGAACTGCAGCAGAAGGGACTTAACTGAGATGTTAGACCTGCCCTGAGCAGATGGGTTAACATGTGGCCTAAGAGCCCAACAAAAACTCTGCAGAGTCCTTCACGTTCCTGCCGATTCCCTGAGGCACTGTTTCAATAGAAATATAGGGCCGGGGATTTAGCTCAGTGGTTTGGTGGCCTGCCTTGCAAGCGCAAGGACCCAAGTTCAATCCCTGATACCAAAAAAAAAAAAAAAAAAAAAAAAAAAATAATATGAAATTGTTGTTGTTGTTATTATTATTTATTTATTTATGACAGAGTCTTTCCTATGTAGTTCAGGCTGGTCTCAAACTCACTGTATAGCCTGGCTGGCCCTGAACACATGACAATCCTCCTGCCTCAGCCTCCCAAGTGCTGAGATTACAGGTGTGCATCACCACACACACAGCATTTTTTGCCGGGGGGTACAGGGGATTGAACTCAGGACCTTGTGCTTGTGAGGCAGGCAGCAGCACCACTGAGCTAAATCCCCAGCCCTCTTTTTTAGTTTTTTGAGACAGGTTCTGGCTGTGTAGTTCAGGCTGGCCTTGAACTCACTACGTACCCCAAGCTGGCCCTGAACTTGATGTGATCCTCATATTCCGGCCTCCCGAGTCCTGGAATTATAAGTGTGTACTACCATACCTGGGCTAAGCCACATATGTAGTTTTAAATTTTCTAGAAGCTGCATTATAAACAATTGAAGTTAATTTCAATAATAAGTTGTCTTTTGTCCAGAACATGTGTGTGTGTGTGTGTGTGTGTGTGTGTGTGTGTGTGTGTTTCTAGGAGCTGAACCCAGGGACTCAGGCTCATGCTGTATAAGCACTCTTCCACTAAAATATATCCCATCCTTTTTCAAATTTTATTTTGAGACAGAATCTCACTAAGTTGCCCAGGCTGGCCTCTAACTTGCAATCCTTCTGCCTCAGCCTTCCAGGTAGCTGGAGTTATAGATTTTCTCTCCATACCCAGTTCAAATTTTATTGTTTTGACATATAGGCCATACACATCACTAAGATGTTTCCTTACTATTTGTCTTTCTTTAAATGCTAAGTCTTGAAATATGTGTATATTTTGTACTTCTAGCACATCTCAACTCTGCCTTTAAAATTTATTTGGAAATATGTAGCTCTGTATTTAGAGTTCAGAAGATTTATAATAAAAAAAAAGGGATTTGAAGTTAGTGTGCCTGAGTCCATCCAGCCCCTGTTCTTTTGGAGCTCAGGTTGTTCCAGACAAACCTGGAAGTTGTCCAGTAGCTGAATGGAACGTCCCTTCTTAAATGAAAATTCACTGAAATGAAGAAAAACGTGAAAACCAGTTCTTCAGTGGGACTAGCTACACTGCAAATGCTTGGTCTTGTGGCTGCTGTTCTGGGCAACACAAGGTATGGGGCCTGCTACTGGCCAAGCCTCTGAGAATATGTTCCCAAGAGTCCTGCAGATTCCAAATTCCAGAGGCTTTTGCCCTGAGCTGCTGCTTCAGGTAGTTTTGGGAAAACGCTACTTGTCTGGGGAACCTCCTCCTGGGCTCCACAGCTGACTTCCTGCAGCCCTATAACCTGGGCCTGGGGGAGGCCTAGCAGGGCCCCCAGGGAGCTTGTCTCACGTAGCTGATCCATTCCCTGCCTTCCTTTTCTTCGGAAATGTTTACATTCCAGACACTCGGCAATCTACCCAGGACTTATTGGGGCTCTGCGTTTTTTACATAGCTGGACACAGGGACTTGGGCTCTTGCCCCCTGGGGTCTCTTCCTGCTGTCCCATCCATGTAGCCAGCCAGTTGCAGGACAGATTGTATTCCCGTCCCCACCTCCCCCTTTCCATTCAGCCCAGGAGTCCCCCAAATGTGAAGTCATTGGAATTTTCCTCCTGGGCCTAACCCTGCATGGGCCTCCTCCTCAGAACCACTGGACTGGCCTGGCCTGTACTGGAGGGGAGGCGGGCAGCTATGGAGTTTGCTAAGGTATCTCGGCAGCTGTCGCCAAGGGCTTGTCACTGCTCGGAGGCCTGACAAGATGGCTGAATACAGCTTGGGAGAGCTCTGGACCTAGAGAGGCTACCTCATTGCTGCAGGCAGTCTCCATGTTTGAGAAAAGAAAAAAAAAAAGTCTGTGAAGCAGCTGCTTATCATTGCTGTGCTCTGATCTGCCCTAGTTTGGCAATGTCACTCCTCTGGGGTGGGTGTGCAGTAGCTGATTAAGAAGCAGAGCCTCAGCCAGATGTAGCGGTGCTTACTTGTAATCCGTGCAGTCTAGGAGGCTGAGGCAGGCGGCTAGTAAATTACAGCCCAGCTTGGGCAGTTTAGCAGCTTAATAAGACCCTATCTCAAAAAAAATTTTTATTTTCTTGAGACAAGTTCTCGCTTCATAGTTCAGGGGCTGAAATTAAACTCGTGGCAATCACCCTGCGTCAGCCTCCTAGGTGCTGGGATGACAGGCATGCACCATCACACCCAGCCCCTATCTCAAAATTAAAAACAAAAAAAAATTTTTTTTAAATGGCTGGAGATGTAGTTCAGTGCAAAGACTCTAGATTTAATCTTAATGCCACCAGAAGAAAAAATAAAAAAGAAAGCCTCCCCAAAGATGGTTTATCCATCTGAATCGGTAGTGTTTACATCCATACCTTTTTACCTTATCAGCCTGAAGTTCCTTCCCTGGGACACATGCCTCAGAAAACACCCAGAGTTGCAGGCAAGGACAGGAGTCCAAGAGAGGTTGTCAGTGTAATTGGCAATTACAAAAGCTACAGAAACAGACTAAATGTTCGATAACAGGGGCCGGGTGAGTGAGGCAGTGCCACCTCCAGCTATTTAAAAGTTGTTTGAGAACTTTTAACAACCAGGTAGCTTTGAGGGGAAAACAGGTTGTAAACTTATAAGCGCACAGGAAAATGTATACGTGTGTCTGTGCAGAGTGATCTGTTCTTAAATGTACAAACACAGGCTGAGGGTGTGGCTCAGTGGTGGAGTGTTTGTGTAATCTGCACAAGGCCCTGTTTGATCCCCAGCACAGGAAAGAAAAAAAAAAAAGCCCAAGGAAAAACAATAAACTTTCTCTAATTAAAAAAAAAGTGAGAGGGCCGCGGATTTAGCTCAGTGGTGCCGCACCTGCTTCACAAGCACGAGGTCCTGAGTTTGATCCCTGGTACCAAAAGATAAATAAATGAGTCAAGTGTAGTGGCATACACCTATAATCCCAGCTACTTGGGAGGCTGAGGCAGGAGGATTGCAAGTTTGAACGCAGCCTAGGCATCTTGGCAATTTAACAAGTCCCTCTATCGAAAAGGTGGGGAGGGTGGTTGCTGAGGGTGTAGCTCAGTGGAAAAGCATTTGCTTAGCATGTTCAAGGCCCTGGATTTTATTTCCAGTAGTATGAACTTAAAAAAAAAAATCTATCTATCTATCTATCTATCTATCTATATATATATATATATATACACACACACACACACACACACAAATAATATTCACAAGGACAGAAAAGAACCAAAGATTATACACTCCAAGAAGTTAGCAAGGCGTACTTCCAGTTGGCTTTTCTGTACATTCCAAGCTTTGTACAGTGTCTATGTTGCTTCTTCATGAGAACTGAACCAAGCACGTGCCTGCAGCAATGCTCCAGAAATTTCCTCTCTGGGAAGATGACTGAGGTCTCAGTGACAAGGGCCCTTGGGACAGAGCAGACTGGGGGTGGGGACCTCGGACAATCCCAAGCTGGGCAGGAGTACAAAGTGCCCTCAGGCCACCAGGCTTCCTTCCTGAGGGACTAGTATCTCCCACAGTGGCCCTGCCTGCACCTCCCCAGCTACAGGGAGAAGTCTGCCCCTCTGTCTACCCAGGGTGTTCGTGGCGGGGCCACCAAGTCAGAGTTCCTGGAGGGTGAGCTCGTGGGGATGGTCAAGGGGCCAGGGACAGGCTCAGAAATGGGCTGCAGGGATGGAGAACAGGTGGGTCTGAGTTTGGCTGTAACACTCAGGTGTCTGGGAGGGACCTGAAAGGTTGCAGATCCCTCCTTCCTGTGGGCTGGCTCCTCCATCTGGCATTGGGCTCAGCCTGGGAAGCAGAGGAGACACAAGGCCCCTAGAGATGTGTTTGCACGCCTGACCCATGTGGCTCTCATTGCAGACAGTGGAGCATGGCTTCCCGCACCAGCCCAGTGCCCTCGGCTACAGCCCCTCCCTGCGCATCCTGGCCATTGGCACTCGCTCCGGAGCTGTCAAGCTGTATCCTTTCCATCGTTTCCCTCCCGGTGCCTGCGCTGTTGGGGTGAGACCAGGACTTACCTGATTTCTACAGGTGAAAGTGATTTCTTTGGGGTGGGTTTGATATAATCTAAGAGGCTGGAAGACTTGGGGTGGCCAGCTGCTCATCCATCCTTTCAGGGGAGGAGCGGGTGGGCTTGAGACTGAAGGGTATGGGCCTCTTTCTCACCTATAGCTGGAGGTTTCAGGATCCAGCTGTACCAGGCGAGTGGGTGATTGATCCCTTGTGGGTTTTTTTTTTTTTTTTTGATACCCGGAATTGAACTCGGGACCTTGAGCTTGTGAAGCAGGTGGCAGAACCACTGAGCTAAATCCCCAGCCCTTATGGGTGACCCCTTATGGCCAGGTACTGTTCCTAGAGGGGAGGCCTGGCCTCAATATCTTTTCCTTCTGCCCTGACAGGGTGTGGGCCCCACATACCTGTTGTTTTATTTTGTTTGTTTTGCTATACTGAGCATTTAACCCAGGACCTTCACACTGAGCTATATTCCCAGCCCTCCCCCTTTGATACTGGGGATTGAACTCCGGCCCTTGTGCTTGCAAGGCATGCGGTGGAACCGCAGAGCAAAATCCCCGGCCCATCCAGCCTTTTTAAAATTTTGATACCAAGACTCACTGTCATTAAATTGCTCAGGCTGGGCTTGAACTTGCAATCCTCCTGCCTCAGCCTCCCAGCATATAGGGATTACAAGTGTATACCACCATGCCCAGCTTAGTTTGGTCTTTTAGCTAAGCCATGAGTCTTAGAGCCCACTCTGTCTGTCGCTCAGCAGCACTTCCTGCAGCAAAGCCTTGCTTTCTGTCCCATATGTGGGGGAGCAGCAGGGGTGCCCAGGTGGCTGGGCTTATGTATACCCAGCAGGGCAGAGACCCAGGTCCCGCTGCTGGCTCAGCCTTCCCCCAGCCAGTTAATCATTGCTAGGTCTCAGCCGTGTCCTAGTTACCAATCCCTCATGCCAAGCCTCACAGGTCATGCTGGGGGAGCCCCCCACCAGCAGCAGCCTGTGTCTCCTCACGGGTGCTCCCTGTGCTAGCTGATGGGCTGCTGAGCTCACATTGGGGGAGGGGAGATGGAAGGGAACTGAGCAGCCTAACAGTCGCCAGGATAGGGCTCCCCTCTGGGGAGCTGCCTCCCACTTGCCTGGCTGGGACAGCTCTCCTGGGGCTCAGGTCACTGGCTAAGTACACCCAGCCAGGGCCACCGCTGTCTCCTCTGCACCCAGGTCCCAGGAGTACACAGCCCTTCTCTGCACTTGCACTCCTGGCCACCTGGGTGCTGGTCAGGCTGGTGAGGGCTGGTGGGTCCCGCATTCAGAGGTTTTCCTGAGCCTGCTCCTAGCTACGGCGCCCCCGGGGTGGAGTTCATGGGACTCCATCGGGAGAACAATGCTGTGGTGCAGATCCACTTCCTGCCTGGCCAGGTGAGGGCCTGGCTCCGGGAGGGAGGCGAGGACAGGGTCCTCTTCACATGTTCCACACAGTGGTGTGGTGAGGGAGGAGGCATGGTCCTGGGACCAGCTGGAGGCCCACAGCCCACCCACCCAGAACAGCTGGGGACCTTTTTGTCCCGGGGCTGCCCCAGGCTGAGCCACCGCAGTGTAAAGGCCTGCTTTGTTTATAAACCCGCACATTTCTGTCCCCTGTCCACATTTCCTCCCTAGTGCAAGCTGGTCACCCTACTGGATGACAACAGTCTGCACTTGTGGAGCCTGAAGGTCAAGGACGGAGTGTCAGAGCTGCAGGAGGATGAGAGCTTCACCCTGCGTGGCTCCCCAGGGTAAGATGAGGTCCTATTCCTGTGTCACACTCGACTCTTGGGTGGGCCCATCCTTGGAGAGCCCTTGCGTCTTTGGTGGTGCTCAGTGTGCATCTCGGGCTCAAGTACCCTGGGCACAGTAGGCAGGGCTGTAGCTTCCCTCGGTGCCCATGCCCTGTTGTGTGGGAGGATTTTGGGTATTTGCCCTGGCCTGAGGTGGTCTGTACTGCATTGAAGGCCTGCATTTCCTAGGCCAGGCCTCCCTGGGGCTGGCGAGGACAGCCAGGAGGGAGGGATCCTGTCCCTGAGGTCCCTCCTGCCTGGATAGCACCCGGCTCACGAGCAGCTGTCCTCACTGCCAGGGCTGCTCCCAGTGCCACGCAGATCACTGTGGTCCTGCCTCACTCTTCCCAAGAGCTCCTCTACCTGGGCACTGAGAGCGGCAGCGTGTTTGGGGTACAGCTGCCCAGCTTCCGCGTGCTGGAGGACCGGATCATCAGCTCAGATGCCGTGCTGCAGAGGTAAGCCCGCTCCTGCTAATGCCTGCGTCTGGGGCACTGTGCTGAGCTTTCATTCACGTGTGGCCTGTATTGCTAAAAAGCCCAGGCGGTCACTAGCCTGGAAGTCCGCTGAGGTCATTTCCTAGGCTCTGCCCCTCCACAGTGGCATCTGCAGTTGGAAAGGAGTCAGACTGGGTTTGGATGGGGCGAGGGTGACAGGGCTCAGGGGGGCATGGTGAGGCCAGGAGGAGGCCAGGGTCTGGGTCCCGGCAGGCCAGGATTCCTTTGTGGGGCTGGGTCCCCCGAGTACAAACCCCTGTGCTTTTCCCACTCAGCAGGGTAGGGCAGGGGCAGTGAGCTGCAGATCAGAGTGGAGCGGCTTACGGGATGACCAGTGGATGCGACTGGTGCCTGGCATGGGCATGGGCATGGTCTAGGGTGGGATGGCAGGGGGATCTGCCCCCAGCATGCGGCCACACCAGGGCCCAGCTGCACCCTGCCGGAGGTAGAGCCGAGTCAGGGAGGGGCCTGAATGCCTGCGGAGCCCCCTGCAATCCAGTCCTTGCTCAGCTTTCACTCTGGCAGTGCTCACCTAGATTCCTAATGTCCAACACGGCACGTCCTCGTCTTGCTCTCTGAGATGGTATCGTCCTAAGGGGGGCACAGGTATAAGAATGATCACTATAGGGTTTTGTTTAATGGCAAAAGGTTGGAAAACATCTAATTGCCCAACAGTTTTCACCTCTGTATATATATTATTTGGATTCATTAAGAATGTGGGGTTATTTATTTATTTATTTTTGTACTGGGAATTGAGCTACCACTGAGCCACATCCCCAGCCCTATTTATTTATTTATAATTTTTTTTTCACTGCTGGGAATTGAACTCAGGACCTTGCACTTGCCAGGCAGGCGCAGTGCCACTGAGCTAAATCCTCGACCCAGCCCTTTTTATTTTTTAATTTTTTAATTATGAGACAGGGTCTTGCTAAATTGCCCAGGCAGGATTCAGGTTCTGATCTTCCTGCCTCTGCCTCCCTAAGGGCTAAGATTATAGGCATATGTTACTATGCCCAGCTCATTAAGAATATCTTGAAGAATATTTAAACACATGAAGAAATGTCCATTGTCTATTTGGGTGGGGGAAAAAAAATAGGAAACAAGCTGGGCATAGGGGAACATGCCTCTAATCATTGCACTCAGGAGGCTGAGATAGGAGAATCACTGTGAGTTTGAGAACAATCTGGGTTACCTAATGAGAGAGAGACAAAAATTTGCGTATAGAGTTTAATTCCAGTGTTTAAATGAGTGGAAAAAAAAGTGAGTGGAGCTGGCTGTGCAGATGGTTAACAGGACACAGTCAGTGGGGCTGACAGCACCATGATCCTGCTGCACGGCTCCCTTCTAGTGTTCTTCCAGATGTAATCACCTGTGATCCACGTACTTGGGAAGCTGAGGCAGGAAGATGGGTGTTCAAGCCAATCTGGGATACATAGCAAGACCCCGTCTCAAAGAACAGAAAAACTTTCCAGAAGAGGCTAAAACCCCTTTGACTTCCACTACCAATGCTCTTACTCCAGAGAGGCCAGTGCTTCTGCCCCTGGTATCCGGCATGGAGAGATTTTGGTTCAGTTGGTTTTGGGGCATAGAGGACCTTTGGACTCCGTGTTGTTTCTGTTTTTCATTCAGAATCCTTGGTGTTGGTCCTGGCCCCATGCCTAACGTCTCAGGGTTTTCTGCGGGCGGCAGTACCACCAGACTTGTTCACATTAAGCATTCCAGGCTCAGAGAAGCAGAAGAAAGAAGTGAGACTCAGGGACCAGGCTGAGTGATACAGAGTTTGTTTTGTGGATTTAACACTTCTTTATTATAAAATACCACGTATTTACAGAAATGCACTAAATATAAATGTACAACTTAACAGATTCTCATAGAGTGGCCCCCCATGCCCTTCCTCGCCGGCCTTCCCTCATTCTCCATCCCCATGGGGACCTTCTGGAATCTCTTCCTTGGCTTTCTTTACAGTTGTGCCCTCTGCAGTTGCATCCTGGGTTTTTTGTTTGTTTGGTTGGTTGGTTAGTTGGTTGGTTTGGTTTGATTTTTGACAAGGGCTCTTGCTATGTAGTTCAGCCTGGCCTTGAACTCACTATGTAACCCAGAGTGGCCTCAAACTCACAGCAATCCTCCTGTCTCAGCCTCCTAAGTACTGGGATTACAGGCGTGTACGACCATGCCCGGCTCTTCCTGGAGGTTTTTATGTGTCACAGTCCTGTTCAACGTGTTGCCCTCTCTCTGGTGGCACTGTATCCCAGCCACCTTTCCACTCTGGCACATGCTGCGTCCTGCCTTGGCCATACCCTGTAGGTGGGTGGTGGCCCAGGCTCATGCCTCTCCTGTCCCCAGGCTGCCCGAGGAGGCCCGCCAGCGGCGAGTGTTTGAGATGGTGGAGGCTCTGCAGGAGCACCCTCGAGACCCCAACCAGATTCTGATTGGCTACAGCCGGGGCCTGGTCATCATCTGGGATGTGCGGGGCAGCCATGTGCTCCACCATTTCCTCAGCAGCCAGGTAGGAGGAGCCCTTGGGGCACATAGAGCCTATTGTCGCAATGCAAGGGATGCCAGTGCTGGGAATGCCGCCCAAGCTGATGCTCCTTTCCCTGCCCTTCCTGCTCCGAAGCAACTGGAGAACGTCAGCTGGCAGCGGGATGGCCGCCTGATTGTCACCTGCCACTCCGATGGCAGCCATTGCCA